AAATCAAGTAGTAAGAGATTACGATCATTGGTTATCTAATGGTCAGTTTTTCAAATTCTGCCTGACCTCTCAAGTTTAAATTAAGTCAATACTTAACACATAAAAAGTTCGTAACAAAAATAATCACATATGCTTTTTTTGTGTAATATATTAAGTAATTAATTTAGGAAACGATCTCAGTTGATGAGATAACTGATAACTTCATTTTCTCCTGCTATTGCAGTATTTGTGATCGAACTGAAGTGGATTCCATATTTCGAACAAAGTATCATTTATCAAATTGCAAAAAATAAATTACTTTTTGATAAATTTCGACTTCACAATTCAAATATTATCACAGATATGTTTTGTGAGTACAAAAAATATCAGTAAATGTTAAAAATCAAAAAATCATTCTTTGTATCAATAAAAACAAAACTTTGGACAGAAACATCTAGTAAATTCGTTTATTCATGGTGTATATTTTGATGCAAGAGCTGATCTACTGATCTACTTACAATAGAATACTAATGATCTGAAAGTGATATAAAGTTAAGGCATAGAAATGTTTCAACAAAAAAATAATAACTTGACATAATGAATTAGTAAGTGATCTATCCAAAAGTAATATAGAGTTCTAATGATATTAGTTCTTTCATTCATTTTAGATTTGGTGATAAAAAAGAAGTTAGCGCTGAAGAATTTAGTGCATACCTCAAAGCTGAACATTATGACCCGAGATTAAATGAGTTACTTTATCCTTCACCTTCTACAGAAATAGCTCAATTATTAATTGATGAATTAAGCGAAATGAATGGTACATATCTCATGTTCATTTGAATATGCAAATTTCATCTTTCCCTGTATCTCTTTACTTTTGACTTCTTCATGAATATTGATCATTATTATTATTTTTTAGGTAAATACTTGACTAAAGAATTATTTTTAAAGTTCTTGCTAAGCCCTTACAACATTGCAATGCATCGAGACCATTTAGTACTGAAGGAAGAAGACATGCATAAGCCACTGTCGCATTACTTTATTAACAGTTCACATAATACTTACTTAAAAGGTCATTTTAATTATCTTTATTTTACTTGTGTTTTAGTAAACTACTTAGTACATAAGGATTATTTCTGTATATCAGTGAAAAACATTTAATTCTTTATTATTGTTTCCGATTTGTAACTCAATAATAATTATAACTAATTATAACTGTTCAGTGATTATAAATAATTATAACTGTACAGTGATTTTAAAACGATACTAAAATCAGTGTGCGAATATTTGTACAGAAAATGTTCAATTTTCTGGTCTTGATACTATTAACTTTGTAGTATCTACTACAGAATATTACCTGCCAGTTTTTGACTAGTATTAGGACTTATATAATCATTAGTTTGACTAACTTGACCTATCACTTACTGACTTGGTCTATTAGTATTTATCTTCTGATAAATGTCCAGTTTCTTCAGGCAAGCAATCAAGACGAAGAATCATATTTACTCAAATATAATTATGATAAACTTTTTGATTATTGTTAATTTAAATAAAGCTGTTGTATAACTTATTTGAATAATTAACGTCACATATGTGACCGCAGTATTAGACAAATAATAAGCTTGTTGGTCAGTGTGATTCACTGGATGATTGCATTTAGTATCAGCAGAAATTTATAGGTTATCAAGTAAATTCGAAAAGTTCTGTAGAAATGTATCGCTATGTGCTGTTAGCTGGATGCAGATCTATTGAGCTGGACTGCTGGGATGGGTCAAATGGTGAACCCGTTATCACCCACGGACCTTGTCAATTGACCCGGGTTACTCCTATATTATTTAAGGTCCTTTCTTTTTGGCGTTCTAAAAATAATAAACTTGAAATGTTGTCAATTTCTTCATGTAAGTTACATTCTACTAGACAAAAGAATAAATTATTGAATAAAGATGATAAATTCTGATGATAACTTAAGCGATTCTTTTGATAAAAGTTATGGAATTAATTTGAAGTCAGATTTTGCCCTCAAAGATATTCAGAGAAAATAATCAATTTTATATATTTTGCATATCATATTTGACCTTTAGGTCATATTCATGCTGCCATATTTTCAATAAGTGAAAGTTATATCAAGAAATGATCAAATTTATATTTTAGGATGTGATAATAGCAATTGCAGAAACAGCTTTTGTAATATCTGAATTTCCTGTAATTTTATCACTAGAAAACCATTGCTGCATAAAGCAACAAAAAAAAATAGCTTTATATTGTCGTGAAATTCTCGGAGATTTACTACTCACTGAACCATTAAGCAGTTATCCGGTAATTTTCGTATAAAATTTTTAAAACTTTTAATTATAAATCCAATTTTGAAAAAAAAACAAAACATGAAAAGCGAAAATGTTGCGAAAACTGTTGCGAAAACCTATTAATCCATGCGAATATTTTTTTTAAAGATTTTATTTTAAAAAAAATTATTTAGATTAAACAAGGCATCAGTTTACCATCACCAAATGCACTCAGACGAAAAATTTTGATCAAAAATAAAAAAATTAATGATTCACTAACAGATTACTCTTTTACTCGTTCAATTAGTAAGTTTGAAATGATTGTTTTAACTTAAAATAATTGTCTTAACTTATTTCAAATTCAGAAAAGATTAGTAAAATTTTTATTTAAATATTAAATTTGAGGTAATTTTTTTAATTACACTTGATCAATATTCATTACAGTAAATATTAATAGTATTAAAGAATAAATTAAATAATAATAAAATATTCAGCGCATATTTTATAAATAATAATTTACAGCTGCTGACTTAATTCAAAATCAAGTATCACTGGATTCATCAATCAGTGATAAAGGTTATATATGAGTATATTAGAAAATTGACATAAATGACAAAAATATTTTGTGAAAAAAATCCTAATTTCATTATTATCGAAAATTAGTTCTTCAGTTAAAAGTATATTTTGGAGCAGGAAATAAAATAAATTTGAATAGCTTAACAATAATGTTACCTTTGTACAGCATCAATATCAAACAGTATTGTCGAAAGTGACCTCAGCGAAAGTGATAGCAGCGAAAAAGGTTAAAATGTTGAACTTTCTCCAATCTGCAAAAAGGTTAAAAAGTCAAACTTGAAGTCTTTAGCTCAAGTTAGCATGATTAACTCAATTTCTGACAAAATCAAGCTTAGTTAAAGCTTTTTTTCATATTAAATTTTAGCTTTGTCCAAGCATGGAAGCTAACGTTGTTACAAAGATACTTATTACAGTAATTTTCGTAATCATATTTAAATTTAGATGATAATATTCAGCAAGCAAGCAGCTCAGATCCTTTAATGCCAGCATCACAAAATTCAGTAAGTCAGTTTAGAAAATCAAACTTGATGAAAAAGTTTTAAATTTGAAATTACAAAAAACTGCTAACATTGCAGCAGAAAGAATCACAGTTAGTTGCACGAGAACTATCTGACCTCGTGAATTATATGCGTTCGATGGGAAAGTTCAAGTCATTTGCTGATTGCAAAAGTAAATGTTCATAGATGGAACGTTTAACTTTTGAAGGATAAAAGTTTAAATAATTACTTTAACAAATATTTTAAGTCTTAACAATTCTGCTTGAACTGCTCGTTTTATTATTTTTGCAAGAGCAGTTGTCTATTATTATTTTAAATGAATAAATAATACTCAAAAACATATTTTGAAAAAATATTTTTAAAGTTAAGTAAATTGTAAAAATGAATTATACAAAAGCTTTTTTTAGCATTTGTTGAAACTATAAATTGATCTATAATGTTTGGTAAAAAGAGAAACATAAATTTAAATTACAAATTTTTATTTCAAAAAATTTTCAAATAAAATTTAAAATCTATTTTATTTTTACCAAGTTCTGAATTTGAACAATTCGTTGAATTAAATAAAGAATAAATTAATTTACTTTAGACAAGCAGATGAGCAGTGATATATTTTCACTAAACGAATGTCGTGCTTATGAGTTAGTAAAACAAAATCCAGTAGATTTTGTGGATCATAACAAACGTCAAATCACACGTGTCTACCCTAAAGGAAAACGTGTTGATTCTAGCAATTTTTGGCCTATTGTATGCAATTTTACAGTTTTGCAAAAAAAAAATAAAAGATTTATTTCATTAATAAATGTAAATGCTTTTGTTTTCATTCTAAGATTTGCATAATTTATATTTTGTTGTGTTTAGAAATTTTGGAATTGTGGTTGTCAAATGGCAGCTATTAATATGCAAACATCAGATATTCCATTTCAAATGAATGCCGCATTATTTGAACTAAATGGACATTCGGGTTATATACCAAAACCAAATTTAATGCGTAAAGCTGATGCAAAATTTGATCCATTCGAAACCCGGCGAATGGATCTTGTTGTGCCTGCATACCTTTCTATAACTGTCAGATTTTGACTCATTCTTTTTAAAATAATAATGTGCATAAATACATGATAAATCAGTCAACACCTACGTGGAGAAGTTCTTTTTAGGTAATTTCTGCTCAAATGCCATCATTTGCATGTGAAAAACGATCATCAACGTATGTAGAAGTTAATTTTTATGGTCATTTTAATGATTTAGCTCAATTTTCAAAACGAAAATGTCGCACAAAAACTATTACGGATAATGGAATTAATCCCATATATGTGAAAGATTTCTGTGAAGAAGATTTTAAGTTTGATAAAGTTAGTTATAAGATTCTTCAATCATTTTCATTTTTTTTGCACGTGAAATTAACTATGGGTACTTTGAATGTTGGTTGGCAGTATTGCTTGGCACGTAGAATAAAATACAGTCAAAAACTGCATCATTAATATGCGCTACCTGAATTCACTTCACGTGCAAGTTCATTTTAATATTATACTTATTAAGTATACACATTTCAGATAATAGCTTTACTTTTGAACTTTTACAGCTTGAAATTCGAAAATTTGAAAGGAGCACTTAGAATTAGAACAATTTTTATATTTACAGTGCTATTAACTTTAAATAAATCAAGACAAGAATCCATTTAATTGATAATTTGTTGACCTTGCGAAAGCATTTATTTGTTTATTGATACTGGTATGAATTTGCGATGGATAATTTTCTAAGAATTTTTTTTTAATATTATGTTTTGTACTGAAGATAATATTTCCTGCTATGGCTTCAATACGTTTGGCTCTCTACGAAGACAATGGTCGACTTGTCGGATATCGTTTTTTACATGTATAATAATTTATTGCATAATAATAATTTGTTTTTTTCTTGATCTAACTGGATATAGTGTGATTAATTATTGTTAGCTTTTATTTTGCATGATAGTTTTTAGCTCATTTAATAAGCTTATTTAAAAAAATTTAAACTAAGAATCAATTATTACTATATTGAACACTTTATTTAATTAAGATTTTAGAATAAATTTTAGGTTAGATCGATTCAGCCGGGATTTCGGCATATTCCGTTATGCAATTCTTACAGTCATCCATTAGGACTTACGTCTCTCTTCGTTTTGTTTCATGTACGTGACTACGTGGACGAAGAAAGCATTGGTAATAGTGATTTTTCATTATGCAAAATAACTTTTGCTTGTTGCAATTTTGAGATAAAAAAATGAAAAGACAAAATGTGCATATCTTTATCATTCTTTGGCTGGTCAGATAACGATTGCATGGCACTAAGTGCCATTACTTGACTTCTTGACAAAAAGGCATGTATACAAAAAGTTATGACCTGATTCTTAAATCAAACGTTTCACAGATCATTTGATTATGCAATTTTTATAAGTTTTATATTTAATAGAAGCACTAATTTATTTACAGACTTGGTAAACGCACTTCAAAATCCTATTTGTGCTGTAAAAGAACAAATGAAGAGTGAAGAAGGTAAGCAGTTAACAATTATTTATGTTTCAGTAATTTTATCGGGTGCAAAATTAATGCATTATTGATTAAAGACGCTAATTGATTTTTTGTGATCGTTCAAATGTGATCAGAATATTTTAGCAGTTTCTGCTGCACTGATTAATCCTGTCGATGCATTGAAGCAAAGGGAAAAAATGCTTCTAGCATTAGAAGAAAATGAAGCACAATCATTTAGCATGGATTTAACTCCGGGAGATATCACCGAAGAAAGCAAGCAAATTAATGGGATTGATCGTGATCAGATTTTGGAAAATACCAATGAACTGCCTCAGAAAGTAGCATACATCAGCATTTTTAAGAAAAATTTCTGCATTTTTAAGCAAAATTTCTAATTAACTTTGGAGATTATTTAAGTTTTTTTCCACTAATTGACTGGATTTAATCTTTACACTATTTAATTTGCTAAATGATTCTTTATTAATTGATATAAATAGTAATTATTAATATTCTTCTGAAGCTAATTTGTAACAATTTACTCAATCATATTATTATAGGCAAATTATACAAATTTGAGAAGTAACTCAGAGACAAATTCGAATATACTTGAAGATAGCAAAAAGCGATCCAGTTTTGATAAATATGACTTGTCAGGTCGTTTGTTTATGCAATAATTTTATCATTTTCTTTGAAAGCAAAAATTACTAAAATTAATTTTAGAAAAATTGAAAGAACGGTTTTATTTGGATGATATGGAAATTAAATTGTTAAGCCTAGCTGAATTAGCAGCTAGCCAAAAAGTCGTAAAATTGGAAAAGAATTTCAAGAAAAAACATCGAGCAATCATAGAGATTCTCAGTGCTTGTTCCCAACAAAAGTATTGCATTATTTAACTTAAAAATTAACAAAAATTAATTAATTAATATAAATAAATATAAATAAAAGTATTAAAAAATACCATATAAATTAATAAATTTAGCTTAATTAATTAGTAAAAATTAATTTTGAAATTATTATAGATTTCAATTTTTGTTAATTTTTCACATATTCTACAACATACTATCTAAGTGTCCTCAAAGTTGTAGGTCAGCTGGTCCTACAGTTAATCCATCAGCTGACTCATTTGACATTTACGCCAAGTATGAAAGAGAGGTTAATTCAAGTCATTTCAACTTTAACAATACACTAAATATAAACTAATTAAAAGGTTCCAATTTTCAATTCCAAAAGTGTTAATGACAAATTTTGCATAAAAATGATAAGTTTAGAGAACAGAATTGATCTTATCACTCGCTGAACAGAATAAGAAGAAGTTATTGAAGCGACTTGATATGGCTCACAGATAGTAAGCAATAGCTTCAAATTGAAATTAATGATATGGAGCAAATATTCAATAAATGTTGAATTAATCTAATTATTGATGCTTAGTCTTTCCTTATATTTTGACAAAACTTTTTGTAAAATATCCGTTCTCAATTTTTGTGCATAAATAAAAGTAATATATTGGCGATGTTTAATAACAACGATTATCCAATTTTTTTCTAATGCTTCAGATTTTTGATATAATCAAAATAACTTTGAAAATCATAATTTTTACTTGAGAACTATTATCTTTAGTTTATATCAGAGGAAATATTTATATTAGTAAGACAAAACTTGTCTTTGAATGATTGCAGTGAATCTAAGCAGTTAACAAAGCTGAATCATCAGAAACGTCACGAAGAGCAATGTAAATGCACTCATACTAAAGGGTTTGTAGGGAGACTTCAGTTCTTTTTATTTTTGTTCAAAAACAACAAAAATTGTTGAGTATTCAACAATGTTTGATTATTTTACAGTATCTCCTAGAATATTCATGTTAGTCTTAAATTTCCTCTTAGCAAATATTGCAGTGAAATTTTTTCAACAGTACAACTATCGTTTTGAAGATATTAAAAGGCGGGAAATTAATGCTGCATAATTAATGTGCAAATTTTTTGAAAAAAATTATTGATTTAGAAGTTCTATGATGCAGTTGTAATTTTTTTCTTGCTTTGATTAGCAATTTTTCATGATTAATATTAGATGAGCAGTTTCATGCAAGTAAAATTACTGAGATATTCAAGAGTTGATGACTTACGTGAAAAATACGTGGATCTCGGTGTGAAGGAGCAAAGAAGATTAAATAAATCCAGAGAGAAACGCGTGAAGGAACTCGATGACAGTTTTGAACTGCTCAAACGGAGCATTGAAACAGAAATAGAACAGGTACTGTGAAATATTTCCTGAAACGCAATTCTAAGTTGTTGTTTTTTAAATAATCCACTAAAAAATATTAATTAAAAACTATATAAAGCTCATACTGAAAGTGTCAGTATATTACAATTTTTCAGAGATTGAAGAATGCTGCTTCTGTGTTCTACAACTGATACTTATCATCTAAAGTGTTTTATACTTTATCTGTTGTTACTTTTATTTATTTTCTAAGAATTTTTGTCATGATATGAGGAAGATGTTGAAAACAAAAGTAAAATCAAAACTAAATTTATCAACTTCAATAAGTTTGAACAATTTTATGTACAGCAAATATGATGAATGCACGAATTAGTAAAAAGTGAATAAAATTCTGATGAAACTCAGAAAAGAAGAATAATCCCCATTACATATTAAATTGGAATTAAAGCTGAAAGTTGTAAGCAAAACATTTGAAATTTCTCAGTAACGCATATCATATAATCAAACAACAACAAAAATATTTATAAAAATACTTTAAAAATAATGAAAATTTTGAGATATGAGCACAAACTTGATCTCCTCAAATAAATATTAATTCAGACACAAGTGTCATAGTTTCAATTGATATTGCATATATTGCAAATGCATAGCAAAAGAATGCATTTGGCTAAAAAATGATGACATTACATCAACTAACCCGTATATAACTCAAACCTAACTTCAGGAGGTCTCAAAGTCTTCGTGAAAATTATCAGCGCATTAATTCTATGCCAACACTTTCTTGTTCTAAATCACAAAATAACCCTGTAGTTCATTTATCGCAGGCAGAATTACTTTTCGCTTGAAAAAAGGAATAGGAATGAAATTGAGGGGTAGTTTGAAAAGAAGGATGACAACAAAATGGTTCAGCGCTGGTATAAAGTTTAGCATTAAATTTTAGTTAAGCTTAAGATTTGATTTCAGTAAAACTACCATGCCCATCCATTTGGCATGTAATAATGTGAAGTAGCGGGTAAAATGGAATTCGCAGGTGCAAAATAATTTGCATTTGGTGCAAAACTTGCAGAAAGAGCACTTGGTGTGGAACAAGTGTTGGTAACAAAATCTGCAGGACAAGGTTTTCCATCTTGAACCAACATTTGGACTGGAATCCGTTTCGAATGTGCAAAATTAGTAGCAGAGGGTGCCATGGGCATATGACCAGAAATCAAAGTACCATTCATCCCTTTGTCCTCATAAGTTTTTTTCGTTTTGTACCTAAAATTTAACTTAGGAAAATTCTTGATAGTCCATGATAATATTAGATAAGAAGTGAATGATTAAAAATAATCATGAGTGTCTTTTGAATGCATTTTACCTGTGATTTTGAAACCAAATTTTCACTTGCGTAGGTGTCAGTCTAATTTGCATAGCCAACTGTTCACGTTCTAGCGCCGAAAGATACCTTTGCGTACGAAATCTTCGTTCAAGTTCAAAAGTTTGAGCTTTTGTGAATAAAATTCGTCGTTTACGACGTTTCTTTTTTCCTTGTTCATCTAAGAGAAAATAAATGGTAAATTGGAATATCAGGTTTATCATGTCTCAAACGGTAATATTTAAAAATTATTATTCAAAAGGTTCGGAAATTGATTCCCTAAATTATGAAACTTTTAGTATTGAGTGATTGTTAAGCATGATCTGTTTCTTTACTTCAATCACTTTGCAACAGTATGTAACTTTATTACTGAATTTTGAAGTTTAGAAACTTTTTGTGATTGCTTTAACGGTCTTAAAAAGTCAAGAGCTGAAACTCAAATAACCTTCATCCTCATTAACTGTTTCGTTTTCGTTCATGACATCTGTCCCTTCTTTAATCTCTTTCTTTCTGAAATTTGGAGATAAATTGAAAGCAATAGTTTCATTTATATTTTTAATTTTAAGAACAAATTGTAAATGATCGAAATCATAAATTTGCCCATACTTGAGCTAGAAATACTAAAGTAAAATTTTGATTTACTTTCAAGTGCATATAAAAGTTGAAGAGTTTTAGAAGGTAGTAAGTATTAGTGATAATCACTACCTGCTAGCAGTGATATCATTCATATCCTCTTCATTTTCAGATTTGCTACAGGCTATGGATGATGAAGGCAACAATGGTAATACTAAGTCTTTTCTGACTTGACCACATTCGACTAGTCCAGAAGAATTGATTGCATCAAATCTAATATCAATAAAATATACTGTATCTGACATTTCAAATCATTTTTTTATTACCGAAATAATGCTTAACGTCAGCGTTTTTTGATTTAATTTATTCAAAAAGACATGTTGAGATTGATTGCAAATTGCAAATCGATTTTAAAAAAAGTGTTAAATGGAAATTAGATCAAATATAAAGATCAATGCACACCCAGTGGAATCAGTAAATGATAGATAAGGCTGCTGTGAAAGTAAAACATTCTGATCATATATTGGATATGCAGTAGTATATGAAGAATAAGTATCAAATGCAGGAGGCGCTTGATGATAACCTAAATTATTGAGATTTTATTAAGTATCAAAATTGTAATGCAATTTAAAAAATATTATCACACCGGGATATTTACGAATAACCAAAACACGTTATCATTTAGCATTTTAAAACTCTATTATTATTATTTTCTGCAATACTTTAATAAGAACTAAATATATAATATTAATTGAAACTATTAATCAGCTATTCGAAAGTAGAGAAAGTTATTCAAAGTAACTAAATATGTAATATTAATTTCAAATATAATTTGATTATAGCCATTATTTTTTGTTTTATACGCTAACAGGCATTTTAAATCGTTTCAATCATTTCGCAATGTACTTTATTGCAATCATTTCGCAATATACTTTATTGCAATCATTTCGAAATGTACTTTATTGCAACCATTTCGAAATATACTTTATTGCAATCATTTCGCAATCAATTAGCAAATTACGAAATCATTGTGACTAGCAGTTAATTTGAATTGATAATACAAATTTTATTGGAAATTAATTGAAGACTTGAACTTACCACCTAGTAGAGGTAAATGATCAGTCCAAGAAGACGGAGGATGAGCATAACAGCTACCCACATCTGTAGGACTATCAAGCAATTCTGACTTGGAAAATTCACACCTTAAAAGAATGAAAACTTTTTTTTGAAATCAAAGTTGAATTAGACGTACTTGACTTACTTTTGTTAATTTAGCAATTATTTTTGTAATTCTGTTATTTTGTAATATAATATTTAATTTGTAGAAATACAAAAAGTTTTAGAAATGGATTCTTCTATTTTTTTTTGGCAAAAAAATTTTTATTTTCATTTTAAGGAATTATGATAGATTTATTTTTGTTTATAATAAATGAGAGAGAATAAAAATTCTAATTCTTGAAGTAGTAAGAAAAGTTTGAAAAGTTTAAGCAAAGAAAACAAGGCTAATGCATAATTCTGTTGTTGTGTTAACTTAAAAGGGTTCAAAGGGTAAGGAGGGAAAAATCAGAACATATATTCGTGTAAGCTCTGAACAGTTAAAGTAAGCAGTACTTACTTACTTGTAGACGAAGACAACTCTTCTTACTTCCACTTCAATTTTTCATGCTTAACACTTAAATAGCACAAGTACTACTCTTTTAGCATACTTAAAATTTTGCTTAAGAAACTTTATTTGACAATTACTTTTGACTAGATGTTCCATCAAGCAGTCGTCGTGTATTGGAATAGTCTAATGAGAATGATGAGCTCATCATAGTTGCTAATCAGATGGAATCAGACAAAATAATCATGAATTCTGAGATTATTAAGTAGTAGATTAAATAGGCTAGTCAGGTACAGTTTACAAGTAATAATCAAGGAAAATCTTGAGAATACGTACTAGTTTTGCAAGCATCTATGAGTTATCAATGTTAATTATTAATTATATATTTATTTATTTTTAATAATTTCCAAGTGTAAGCATTATAATTCCATATTTTTCAGGTCTATTTATTAATGCTTATTTGAATTTTTTCATTTTAATGTATAAACTAAAATGCTTAACTTACTTATTACTCACAAAACTGGCAATTGTTGATGGTGTAAACATGGTTAAATTGTCCGAATTTGTAAATGAATTTGTATTTGTTTCCGATATTCCTGTCATAGTTGTTGCGGTTTCACAAGCTGTTATTTCGGAAGTAGCTACAACTTTTTGAGTTGCAGTAAATGCAGCAGCAGCAGCAGCAGTAGCAGCAGCAGCATTCAACGGGAACATTTAACTTATATAATTGCAAGTGAAATTTGCGCTACTTTTTACTTAACACAAAAATTTATCTAAATTGCAGTGAAAAATATTTTCTCTAAGATTGTAATTTACAGCCAACATATTTATTAAAAAAATAATAATCTCAGATAATAATAGCTAATTCATATTATTTGTATGAACTCATAAAGCTCTTTTTTTTCTATTAAATTACAATGAATGATTTTTAATTTGAAGATTATAAAATAAAATACTTTTTAATACAATTTTTTCTAACACGTTTTGTATATAGTTTTTATTAACAATTAATTTGATTAGTTTGTTTTTGTCAAAAAAATGAACTAAAATAAAGAAAAGAAGAACACTTATAATAATTTGTTGATAGCAAAACAAATCAAAATAGTATTACTTAAAAGTTGAGTAAAAGAAGAAAGTGCTTGAACATTAGCACAAAACTTAAGCAAAGAATGCAAAAATGAAGATGTAATTTGTTAATGATAAAAGGTACTCATAAATAGATGATGATGACATACACTTGTTAGTCTTTTGTTGATATTACTTTTCCACGTTCAAATATTAGGTAAATTTGCATTAATTTCAATCCACCCACCGCTTTACTTATTGGATGAAAATGAGACAGTATATCTTAGCCTGTCTGAGAATCACTCTATGCTGACAAAGTATGCAACTATTCTTCAATTTCATTAAAGTAAACTTTACTTTAGTAAACACTTGTACAAAATTCAAAAAAAAAAAAAAAATCGTAAAGTAATTTATTTCAAGTATATGGTATTTTTTTTGCCTTCTTAAAGTACTTACTTTTTTGTCTACATTTGTTTTTGTTGTAATGTGTGTAAATTTATTACTATTCATTTTTTTAAAGCATAATTGCTCATAGTTGCGTAAAGTTTAATTTGCAGCAAATGTCATTTATTCCTTATTATTTATTCTAGAATAGAATAACTAACTTGCATAGTTTTTAAAAACACGCCAAATGTTTATTTAATTTTAATAATGTTTGTTATAAGCCAAAAAAATGATTAAGCTTACAAAAATAAAAATCGAGAAAGCTCAGTTAGCTGAAAAAAAATTTGCATATTTGATTGTTAAAAAATATAATTTGCATATTAGGTCTGATAATTCTTTTGCAATAATTCATGTTATTTTGAAATTATCACTGAGTTATAGGTTTAATATTGTAGATCATGAATTGAAAAAGGAATGACATTTATCAATGTTTGAAAAGTAAAAGGAATTAATAATGATAATTGTTTACTCCTTCTGATTTTTTCCTTACTGCTATTAACATGCATGACATCATTCATTATGCAAATTAATTGAGTGTTATTTTTAAATTTAGGCGCATAAATAATGCAATACTCAAAAGATTTTATTTTTGCTATTTTTATTATTTAAGTTTTGAATCAAAATTTTGTCAGTAACACTAAATAAGATGAATAGAAATGATTGATGTCTTAGATCTGACTACAATTGGCATGTGTTGTTGATAAATATGCGGAATCAGATCTGATGTCGTCGTGTACGGCAACGAGTCTTCTCGTCTCAAATGACAGCAATTAATTTGCATAGGCAAAGGTAAACAATAGAGGAAACAGTAATCAGCGCTGGAATGTATAAATTCATCCGTCTACGCAAACAGATACAGTCTTTATCTTACCGTTATTTAGTTCTTAAGCAAACATTTTGCGATTTGACGCATTATGTATGGATTTGAGCAGATTACAAAGATTATGGATTAATTTTATTATTCCTCAGCAGTAATTATTTAATAATCTCACTTACAAATTAATTTTAAATTAAGGCTAATTTACATATGCTATAATGGTTTTGTTTTTTAGTTTCATTGAACAATAATTAATATTTTTTATTGTTTGCAGTTTACGTCATGCGGAAAGTTTTTAAGTGAAGAGTCTTACAATCAAAATTTTTACTTAAAATTAATTCACACTTGAATTAAGGAATAATTTATTACTGTTTTCCAATAATTAATTAGATTCAACAGTTTCATTACAAAACATACTAATAGCAATTTAAAATCTATCCAAATGGCATTTTATACTGTACTGATATCTTTGTCCTGTATAGAAGTATTAAGCTTTTAATGATTTTTATGTACAAAAGTATCAGTTTTATAAATTCCAAATAATAAAAACTGTTAATAGAATGACAGTAACTGTTAGCTAAATCTCATAAGAATATTTTAAATGGTAGTTTATCGATAAATCTAGTTAAATTAAACCAAAAATGGAGCCAAATTTTTATTTTTGCTACAAATTAAATAGCAAATCACAAATTACCTGCTTAAAATCAAAACGAATAAACAAAATGAGTCAAGTAAACTTCAGTTTCAGTTTTACGTATTGTAAAATGAATTATGAAAAGTAATTGATGCAAAGATTCATTGAAGAGTCAACTTTTTAAAAAGAAACTTTGAGTCAAAATTAATCTAAGTGAGAGTGAGCTATTATGAGTAAGCCATTATTCAAAAATCTAAGTGAGGGTGACCTACTATTTAAAGAATATAAGTGAGAGTGACTTGTTATTTAAAACCTTTTTTTCAATGCAATATTTTCTTTGTTTGAAAATTGTCGATGAGAAATATATCTTCAAAATTTTACAGTTAGATTTTTTAATGTATAACAATTTTCCATGCTATTTTCAATCAAAATTTTTTGCAAAA